GGTAATCGAGATGGTATTATGGTGGCAGTAGCGTGAAATCGAGGGAAAAAAAGAAGAAGCGGGTCATTGACGAGAGTTTCTTCAAGCGTATCCAACGACGAAGGTACACGCACCACGGCGGCGATTTATATTTTCGATGAAAGAATTGAGCGGTTATTTTCGCGTTTCGTTTTCTAACGATTGGCCCGTACCAATCTATAGAAAGCTGGACGTGTACAGTGAAAGGAAACGGAGCGAATTTTTAGTGAAAAGAATCACGCGAGAAATTGTTGCTCCGTGTTGTGATCGAGAGACGACGACGACGAATGGTATTAGTGTTTCACTCAACCCTGACCAACGAAACGCTACCAATTAAAAACAGCCAACTTCACACGGGTTATCGAAAACTTGGCATTCTTTCGATACACACACATCACATGTCGTGTTTCGACAGGATTTCGCGTAGGCGTGTGAAATCGTTGGGAATCGTTTCGACGAGATATCGAGGGTAGTCGTGAACGTGAAACAATTGAGAAAGTTGCTCGTCGAATACGCAGTACTTACGAGTGAATAGCAAAAACCGGAGCAGTTCGTGTATTAAAAAGAACGACGTAGAAAAGAGTGTGTTATTAAGGGTTAAGGTGTAAGAGGAAAGAATTTAAGAAACACGAGACGTATCGTTGCAAGGGAACGATCGTTTAATCGGAGCTTGTACGTAGTTAAAATTGTATATCGTCGCAATGGCCAACGCGCCTACACATCGTTTATTTCGCAATCGTCGATTGTAACAGCGATTCTCGAAAGATCGTCAACGCTATCGTCGATTGCCCCTCCTTCGGTTTCGACGAACAGAAGGAGCCGAATTTTGCGTTCGTTTTTTCTTTCGTTTTTCTTTTTATCCGTAGGATGTGTGTCGCGCGATCGAACGACACCGGTTGATCGGGTGTATTAATAATTAGCATGGGTACGCTTTCTACGAGCTATTTTTCCTACGACAGATCCTGTGTTTAGAGTCGTTAACGCAACAGCCGTCGCACGTATTTACAAGAAAATGAATAATAATAAAACAAAAAAAAAAGAGAGAGAGAAAGAGCAGAGCAGAAGTATAAAGAAGCCGTATTAATTGATAGTCTGAGGACGAATCGAGGTGGCGAGAAGCGTGTTGTCGTGATTAATATTATCGCACAAGTTGTGCCTGAATACAGAGAAAAAAAAAGATAGAGAGAGAGAGAGAGGGGAGAGAAGGCTAGGCTTCGCCAAAAGTTGATGAGAAAATGTTGAAAAAAAAGAGAAAAAAAATGATAATGAAAAAGACGTCTGTCTCGATGTAAAGGAACGTATAAAGAGAATAATTACTACAGACACTTATTATACACCTCTATACTCTATTTAATAATATTACTTATTGAATTGTCAATCTCATGTTCACCTTGTTTCATCGTTTTTAAATAGTTAATAAACGTTTTACCAATTTTAAATCTGTCGGTCTTCGAAAATACTTCATGCACCTTCTCCTTCGATCGTGGATCCCATAAACGCGTAACTATTTGAACTTCGTAACCTCAAAATTCGAATTGTTGAATTTTTCATTTGCAAATTGAAATAGAAACTTTCACGTTTAGAACTATTCCTTGCAATTTTAAAGTTAACGAGTAGATAAATAGGGTGTGAAGGAATCAAAGAGGCGTCAGAGATCGGTAAAAATACTTGTTTTTATTACATCGATAGGATAACTCGTTACTGTTATTAGCGAAAAGAAAATCACGAGTCGAGTTTCATTACGAAAAAATCGAGTTTGTCGGTCCGTTGTGACTTGTTGTTCGATAAATCTGACGGTACAGAGCAATGATAATATGATGATGACAATAATAATACTAATTAATTAATTAATAATCATAACTTTTTCTTCTTTCTTTTCACGCTTTTTTCTTCGTTTTTTTTTCTTTTTACTTCCTTAGTATTTCATTCTTTAGACGAATCACAGAGAGAATTTAATTTGTATTCTTTCTCGCGTTTTTTTCTTTTTTTAACATTATTATATCT